ACGAGAGTGGAACAGAACTGGGAAAAACTTTGTGTTTGTTGGCAGCTTGATTTTGCCCTTTTGTGTCTCATGCTTCGCATGTGTGACTCCACTGCCTTGATTCCCATCGTTCCGAGTTTGAAAAATTTCTTGCACAAAATACAACGTGCTACGTACATATTCGCTGGTACCGGTCGCAGCCATGTTGAAAAATTTTGGATGAACAGCCAATTTTCGTTGAATTTACACTTTCCCATCTGGTCCAGGATGAAAACAATCACTGCTACTGCTACAACAACGATGTGCATCTGCTCTGAGAGTCCCGCCCGCAACAACATCGCTTTCATTGGTTCCGCTATCGCGTGACGTTACAACGAGAAGCATTAGGTAAACAATTGAAAAAATAATAAATGTGAACAGTTATTTTAATATTTGAGACGTATTACAGCAATGAAATCCAATTTACGACATTTTAATATCAATTGCGGCTTTATTTTTAAATTGATGAACCGCGGGAAACCTGGCACTTAACATTTATCTCTGTAATCCTTCTGCACAATTTAAATCACATTTGCTGGCGGGCCAAATTTGTACCATTCTTGACCTGTAATATGGGGCCAGAGTGGGTAAAGGTGATCCAGATTTACTAAATACTATGAAACATCCCTTTTGTCAAGAGCCACATGGGAAGCTTAGAATTGCATTCCAACTTTACCCGTTGTATTACTGAGGTCAAAACTTATAAATAGAAGCAATGCTGTAGCTTTGGATAAAATGCATGACGGGGGTGCCATAAAGCTAGCAGTAGAAACTACATTCAAGAAAAAGCAGCTCTGCAGCCCCATTACAAAGTAATGCTAAGTTTCATGCTAAGTAAGTGGACCGTGGCAGTTTACTTATTAATTGTATATGGCTTATTTGTTGTTTTTATGAGTGCTATGATTCACGGTGAACCCAAATAACATAATGACCCTTTCTGCTGCTGTCAGACTGTTAAAGTTTCTCCAAGGACGCTTCTCAAACAGTAAACACTTAGCAGAGCTGATCCAACTGACGGCCTTCTGTTGCCATAGAGGTGCTAAAATGACTTTATTTTGGCTGATATGCAAGAAACTTTATCGACATTCTCACACTGTCACTTACCAGGCGCTTACACGTCCGAGCCTGGACGGTTAACAGTCTCCCGGAGGACATTTTAGCCTCAAAGACAAAACAAAGCAGGAGAGCTTCACCTTCAGTCAAGCAGCGCACTGCAAGGGGTTAAGAAAACACCAGCCAATACAGAGAGGGGTGTGTTTCGAAGACGTCATCAGTTGCTTGGCATTATGGTTGTTGTAGTTTAATCACAGTATGTTTCTCGGCATTCCGTACTGTTCATATCTAACTGTTGATATTCACTATTCAGTTCGATATTTTACTCTATAGCATGAAGGAAACAAAAAGAAAATAAAAATAAAAAGAGACAAGATGAGAAATAGGTGCTCCATTTTACTGAAACATACAAAATAGAATTGCTTATATTTTATTTTGGCTTCCAGGAGTATCTGAACTCTTTGGCAAGCTTTTGATGAAAAGCAGCAGAAGCTGCCCTACTGGCTCCCCCCGCCCCCCAAGAATTTTTAATGAGGAAAATCCCACTTTTTCTTAGATGTTGCCAGACTTATGGCGTTTTTTTTTTTTTTTTTTTTTTTTTTTTTTAAAAACACCCCCTTTTTGTGATTAAAAGGGGGGCCCCCGTGTGGTTTTTTTTTTTTTTTCAC